AGAAGATGGTTGAAGGGAACCCGAGAAAGTGGCATTTGTTATTGTCTCAGGCTTTATGGGCACATAGGAATACCAGAAGTACGGCCACAGGGTTCTCACCTTACCAACTTACATTTGGCCAAGATGCTGTTTTACCAGCCGAAATCCGAGCATCATCTGGCCGAACAGAATTTACTGATGGTGGTCTTACAGAGGAATACCAACAACTTATGATGCAACAGTTAGAAGATTTGGATGTTAACCGACTCCATGCAATAGGGCGAAGTGTGAAACAGAGTGAAATCAGAGCAAGGAGTTACGGAAAGAAAGTTCTCCACAGGACATTCCAGAAAGGAGACTTGGTTTGGAAGACCATTCTTCCTATATATAAGAAAACTGATCAATTGGGAAAGTGGTCACCGAATTGGGAAGGACCATACATTGTTCAAAAAGATATTGGAAATGGCGCGTTCATTATTGTAAATCATGAAGGTAGAAGAGTACATGATTGTATTAATGCTAAATATCTGAAGAGGTATTATCCTGCCTTTTCAGATAACAAAACTGCCTGAAACAAAATATTATTCAGAACCCATTTATGGGGTTCGAACCTACTGGAAGGTTCATTTCTGTTAGTCATCGTGTAGTTGTGAGAAATTTTCTGTCTCTGAATCAGACTTTTCATCCCAGTGAGTGGATATTAGCTCTGGTTCTTCTTCAATAAGATCTTCCAAGTCTGGTCGGTACCTTTCCCATTGGCTTTGCATGTCATCTAGATCTTGATGGGTACGTGCTTGCATGTCTGTTAGGGCTTGATGTTCACGGTCAACAATGGTACGCAATCTTGAAAAGACTTTTCGTTGATTGGAAAATATGTTATCCCAACCAAGGTCTGGAAGTATGGTTGCTGTATGATTTTCAATCATTTCCATGTGATGATGGAGATCAGGAATGCGGCTGAGGATGTCACGAAGAGGTTCATATCCCTCAATGATTTTTTCCATCAGGCGGATGACGCGATGAATAGTTCTTCTACCTCGTTGGGAGAATCGGAATTTGAAGTCTAGTTGCTTGAGTATATATAACAAGTCTTCTGCATGGCCTCCAATAGGGTGATTACCCACAAAGAAGGGTTGGAGAACACCTTCCCAGTTGCTTGATGGAACATGAGGTCGGTCACTCGCCATGTTTGTTAATACGTCAGGTGTTTTGATTTTTCGAATATGCCTTAGAATGTGTTTCTTAAAATGTGAGAAACAGTGTTCTTTTAAAGAAGGAGTTTGTTTCGTTTCCTATAAAGCTGGGAATTGAAAGGTGATCCTTGTTTTGAGAGAAGAAAGAAAAAAATGGATTACTAAGTCAATTGTTGTTACAAAGGGGGAAGTATTACAACAGTGCCCCTAGGGCAGTTTTTATATGGGTCCATTTGATTTCATCCCTGGATAGCCTTCTGGTATTGGCAGCCGTCTGATATCTTATGATGAATTGGGATCGGGCTTGGGTTTTCAGCTCTTGATCCAATTCAGCTTCATTCTTGGTGTACTGCTCAATCAGACGCTGCTCATTGATAATTTGCTTATCCAGGGTAGACTGTTCTTTCCTCAGCTCCCGCAATTCTGCCTCCTTTTTCTGAATAGCTTCATCAACTTGAGCTTTCGTGTTAAGGAGACCACCCAGCCTTCCAGTAGTCTGCTGGAGGGATTCTCGGGTCTTAGCCAAAGAATTCTCCAGCGCTGTTTGATCGAAGTCGGGCTGGGGGGTTTCGGCTGACAGGAGTCCAATGACTAATACTTCAGTCTTGAGCTCTGTAAGTCTTTCCATCAGCCGATGCAGAATGGGGACGGCTGGTGATTCCGTTGGAGTGTAATAAAGAAGGCCACCAACCGTCTGAATGAGCTTGTCCAATAAGTCGGACCTTAATTCGGACAGGGGACGGTTAATGGCCTCAGTGAACACAGTCTGGGCCTCCGCTGGAACCGGAACAGTCGATAGGACAGCTAAGTCCGAAGGCCCCTGCAAGTCCTACAATGTCAATAAATATTCCAAGGGAGTTGCAAATTTGTTCGGAGAAAATATGTGGTACCTCTGGGCGGACTGCTGTCAGTGAGGGGGGCAGCAATGAGGTCGGTCGAGTTGGGCAGACAGCTGGTATAACAGCAGCCGACTCGTCGGCTGCTGCGAATGGTCGCTGAGGTGCCGACCTGGGTCCCTATGGAAAGTAGTATTTGAAACAGTTAGTGTTTTTCGAAAGAAAAGTTATGGCATGGATTGGTCTAATCTTACCAAATTCACAGAAGTCTCCGAATCGGATGAAGACATTTCTTCCATTTCTGGAGGTTGGGCTGCCACAGGTGGTTCTTCTGCCTGCCATTCGATGGCTAGAGGGAGCGCCGCTGCTGGTAGGGCGGCTGCAGGTTGGACGGCTACCTCTAGAGCCACTGCAGCCAGGATCTCTGGGGCACCTTCGATTTCGGGATCAGCAGCATCAGGGATGTCGTTTTGAGGGTCAGCTTCGGCGAGGGCGGCTGGTTCTTCCTTTGACATAGATGAGTCTGATGCCATGTATGGCGGCCGACCCATCTGGGAAGTAGTCCCCTCGCTGTCAGAAGAGACCCCTGCTGCTGATGGGATGGGTGAAGGTGTCTGTGGAAAAATCATGAAGATGTTTGTTGTTAAATATATTAAGGTTGATCATCCGAATCCTAAGTCTTGCTGATAAAGGAACTTACTGGTTCTATAGGCACTGCTGGTAAAGATTGTCTCCTGGTCGGGGGCCTGGCCCGACCACTCCTCGGTACGGGAGGAAGAGTTTGCCTCCGCGTCGGGTCCTCCGCCCGACTGCTCATTGGCAAATTGGTCTGGACCAAAGGCCCGATTGAATGGTCGGTTGGTGCTGGCGTCGGTTGCATGGTCGATGTCATCAAGGTCGGTTCTGGGGAATGAAATGAGTAAAATCAAAGTTACGATATAGTAAATTGGTTCACGGTGTTAAGAAACATTACCAATTCGGGGTCGGGTCCTTGCTGACGTCCTATTTATTCCAAGGTCTGCTAGTGTTTGCTGGTCGGTCTCCGAGGTCGGGGGTGTTTGCAGCTGGGAAGTTTTTCTTTTGCGCGTGGGACCACCAGATCCGATTCCCGGGGCGGTTGTTTGTTGTTGGGTGCTAGTATGTCTCGCCGCCCCTAGAACCAATCCTTGGGGGGGAAGGAGTATGTTCAGCAACCGACCCTCATCAGGGGATATCAGGGACCATACAACCGACCACCATTCATTGAAAGTATCTACGATCTCAGGGTTGGAGCGGAAAGGAATATAAGAATTGGAAATTATATACGTGGTGAGCTGGGAGATATAAGAAGGGATTGAATTAGGAAGGACTCGTCGGTCGGGACTTTGAAAAATTATTTGGGGACACGCGACGGGTCCAGGGATACCTTGGCAACAGCCGAACTGGCGCGCCATGAATTGAGGTTCATAGTTAAAAGTGTAAAAAGTTTTCTGCCCTTTTTTATCAAGTTTCTTGCTACTAAAAAGAGACCTGGGTTTGAGGGCGACATCCCAGGCGAAAGGATAGGTGGGATGAGGACAAGGCTCAGGAGTCGGAAGCGGGTTTGGTACTGGAAAGGGCCAAAAATGGTCGGGAGCATAACCCGCATACTTTTTATACATAGAAAATCGAGAGTTACTGCGGGTATCTGTTAAAATGGCGGTTATTATGGGATCGGAAGATTGGAGTTTATTGCGTCCTGAGCAGAGTCGGTTGAGGACTAATCCTAAATGTTTTTCAGATGTTGGCATAGTGGGCGGAGATCCTAAGTTAAACGCGTTGGGGAAGTAAAGACGGAACCAAAGTTCTAAAAACCAAAAAGGACCCGACGCGGCAGTGTCTAATTTCCTATTATCGTTATCTGTTAAACGAAGGCTAACCCTGGTGAGTCCTTCAAACAGATTGACTAAAAATAGAGTACCAAGGGAGAAGAACCGACCTGACGCAATATGAATGGCCAGGTCGAGGTGAGAAGGAAGAACACTTTTGGAAGGGGAAACAATGACGTACCTACAAAGCCAGAACAGGATAAAGGCAGTATGCTCCCGGTCGGTTACAGGAGTCCCTGGAGCCCCTTGCTGGTCGGTTGCGAACTTTGTCCAACCCCATTCCTTCACACCTTGTAAAGACCATCCCGGATGGTCTTCTGATGGCTCCTGCCCATCTAGGGCTCCCATTACAGGGTCTTCACCCACGACTGGGAGATGTGCGATCATGGCCACGTCCATAAGAGTTGGGCCAAAGGGGGCCGATGGCAAAAGGAAAGTCCCATTTTCCGCATTCCAGAAGGCGGACATGGCCAACAGCACCTTCTCATGCAGGTTGATAGGCATGGTGGACAGTAGTATTGCTTGGTCGATCTTTTGGGATCGCCATTGGGTCTGGAAGTGTTCTGCTACTCGTCGATACCAAGCACGATACAGATCTTTTGGGTCTGTGAGATGGGTCTTGATGCTGTCTCGGATGCGAACTGCTTGGTAGTTGGGATTGTTGATAGCCAAGGAGTTGCGAGATTCCAAAACTTCCCTCATCCGATTTGAATCTTCAGGAGTAGTGCAATATGGACGGATCGTCGGAGTTAGTACTTTCGAGGCTGAAAATGGACCTTCTGGAAGGGTTCCGTCGAAAGGAAGGGCAGGAATGTATTGATTCGCCATAGTTAGAATGTTTTGGGATTGTGATTCACACAGGCTTGTATTGCGAAGAAGGAAGTTAACCAGGAGTGTTGCAGTAACTGGTGTAGTTGCTAAGGAGGTAGTGCTTTATGAACTTCCAAACATTGATTGTTAAATGGCGTTTGAAAGTCCCTTGGCGGCGGGCAAGTTGTTACGTACGAAATTTAGAATTAGGTTAAAAGCCCAAGGTAAAAAGAAGAATGGGCCTGGCAATAGGGTTGATTGAACTGGCTGAAGGACACCGTGAGGAAATCAAGGAAAATAAATTTATTTATTTATTTCTAAGGAAAATACAGGACGGAAGGTTCTTAGGTCGGTAGGTCCTCAGGACGGAAAGACCTCAGGACGGAAGGTTCTTAGGTCGGTAGGTCCTCAGGACGGAAAGACCTCAGGTCGGAAGGTCTTCAGGATGGAAGTTTCTTAGGTCGGTAGGTCCTCAGGACGGAAAGACCTCAGGACGGAAGGTTCTTAGGTCGGTAGGTCCTCAGGACGGAAAGACCTCAGGTCGGAAGGTCTTCAGGTCGGGAGGCCCTCAAGATGGAAAGACCTCAAGTCGGAAGGTCTTCAGGTCGGAAGGTCCGCAAGACGGAAAGACCTCAAGTCGGAAGGTCTTCAGGTCGGGAGGTCCGCAAGACGGAAAGACCTCAAGTCGGAAGGTCTTCAGGTCGGGAGGTCCGCAAGATGGAAAGACCTCAAGTCGGAAGGTCTTCAGGTCGGGAGGTCCGCAAGATGGAAAGACCTCAAGTCGGAAGGTCTTCAGGTCGGGAGGTCCGCAAGACGGAAAGACGATGAGTCGGAAGGTTTTCAAGTCGGGAGGTCCTCGAGACGGAAAGTCGTCGAGATGGGATATCCGCAGGTCGGGTAAACTGTAGGTCGGATAGAAGGAGGAGTCGGACAAACGCGGAGGCCTTTGATCAAAGACAGGGGGCGGTTGATATGGAGGTCGGCCCAAGTGGGGTCGGGCGAAGAAGTAGGTCGGACGAAGGACGAAGTCGGGCCAAAAGAGCGGAAGGTCTGTGGTCGGCTCAAGGAGTGAAATATAGGGAATTTTGGTCTGCTGGGGACACGTGTCAGCATGAGAAAGGTTGGAAGACGGTTGAGAAGGAGACGTTGTAACCGTTCGGGTGACGGTTTTCAGTACGGTTTCCCAGGGAATATTTAAGGATTTGGATCATCATTTGGCAAGGGATCTTCAATCAACTTCAACAAAGCAAAGTCAGATTTGGGGATCACCACTTTAAATTTCAGTCTTTTATTTTCCAGTATTATTTTCTGTACGTTACAGTGTTTAGAGATTCCTAATCTCAGGCACTAATTAATCAAGTTTAAGGATATTTTCCATATCTTTGAATTTTACTTTATTTTTGTTGAAAAAATACATCAACAAAAAGACCCCTAAATATATAAATGATCTACTCCGATTAGTTTTTACCTATAATAGAATATAAATTATTAAATAAAATAATTTTTTTTTTAGAATTTTTAGATAAAATATCAATAATAGTATTAATATTAACAATTTTAAAACAAAAATTAGAGCCCATAAATATGTATAAATAATATATATTTTATCTATAATAAAATATAAATAATTAAATAAAATAAATTTTCTAATATTTTAATAAGCAAAATATCAATAATACTATTAATATTAATTTTGTCTAATTCTTTTTAATACATAAAAAAATATTTTTAAATTTTTGATGTACTTGGGTTTGAACGAAAACCTCAAAAATAATATAAAAAGAACTTAATCACCAAGTCATGCTCTTGTATTAATATATTAATATCTAATAATTTATATATAAATAATTTATATATAACATATATAAATAATAGACTCCAATTTAAACCGGGTCCTAGGCATTTTATGCAGTGGGTTGACTGAAAATAAAGTGGTCCCGAGCCAACCCCATTTTCTCCCCCATTTTTTGGGATAACTACAACGTTTATCCAAAAAACAGTGTTATATAAAATGGAGTGGAGTATTTTGTATATTTTTGATAGTTTTTGGGTGTTTTGTGTAATGTTATTTTTTAAAAAAGTGATATATAATTTTATTTTTGTAAAAAATAATATATAATTTATTTTTTAAAAAGTGATATATAATTTTATAAATAAAATATGAATTATATATTTTTAGCGATAATGTAAAATTAAAGTTAGAGTGTAATTTATAAATATAAAAAATTATATAAAATAATATAAAAGAATAATATACAGGAAATATACGTTTTTAGAGTAAAAATTGAAGTTTGTAGTTAGAATAAAATGTCTGTATGCATTTTTACTGTAGCTTCTGCAAAAATGAAGTAATGAGTTGGAGATGGTGGTATTAACTTTTAATCTATTCTACCCAACCCCACCCCCAATCAATTAATTTAGGATTTTCACACCTTGTATTTCTCTTTGATCGCCGTCTATTTCGTTCGTTTCGTGAATTTCAAGGGTGATTACTGCCATCTACACCGTCCGGCTCCGACGGATGTTTCTTCTGCATCCCTACAGCAGGGTTTCACTACCTCCAGTCATCGCCTATACCAATAAACCGATTCGATGCTTGAGTCCGTCAAACCGGACTACGATGAGACCGGATCTACTTCGTTGGAGTCAGTTTCGGTTGCTACCTGTGAGATCGTTCCAAATTCGGAACCGGATCTAGAGCCGGTCGACGGTTGTCCATGGCTGCCGTTAATTGGGTGTTAATGACAATTTTTTAGTGGCCTAATGTCTGTAAAATCTGTGTTGATTGAGCACTAATTTCAATTATGAAATGTTGGGCTCCTCCGATGAAAGGATTTTTGGTATGTAATACGAGAAATTCTGTCAAAATATAAAATATACTCCCTCCGTCTCCGTCCGCTTACAAAGTTTATATGTTTCTATTTTGGAACGTCCAATTACAAAGTTTACATTTCATTAAATACCCTACTTTTTTTCACTAATACTTTTACTTTACATCACATCATTACTTTTACACAAAAAAGTAAGGACAAAAATATCATTACACTACTTTTAACTACTCACTATAATTAAAATACTATTATTTTTTTAAACACTGCGCCAAAAGTAAATATAACCATAGTAAATGGACGGAAGGAGTATTATTTTAGATTGAATATTTGATTTTTTATAATAATTTTTTGACTTTTTATAGTAAGTGTTTTGATTTTTTAACTTTTATATAAAATATTGTATTTATTATTATTATTATTTTTGAAAATTTCAATTGAAAAATAATATTGAGAGAACAAGACAATTGCGTTATTTACTCAGATTTTGGGAGCACTATCCGTGTTGATTGTGTTGTATTTAGTGTAATAATTAGTATTTTAAATAGTGACTTAATTATTATAATTATACTGTTAATATATTTTTTTAATTACAATATATTAATTAGTTATTCTAATTGAACAATATATATATAAATACATAAAATTACACTATATTATTACATACTATAACTACCAAAAAGGTATTTTGAATTTTTAATCATTATTTGTACGGCATACAAATATAATACAAATGTTTTTTAAATGTTGTCCAAATAGTTTGAATACATTATGAGATGATGGAGTGCGTATAAATATTTTAATATTTAATTCAAGATATTTTATTAAAAAATAAATAATTGTTATTTGAAAGACGACCATGACAAAATAAATATATTTAATTTAAACTAACAAAATATTTAAATTGCTATTCAAAGAAAAAACACCCCAAATTTTTAACAAATAAATATATTTATAAATGGAATAGAAGCTTCTGAGGTAGATAGCCCTATTGTGAAAAGGAAATGAAATAAATTGAAAAAAAAAAAAAAAAAGAAAAAATCCATAAAAAGACGTGTACATTTTCCCTTGTTCTTTATCCACACTCCGCTATTTTCTTTCCCATTAAACTTTCATTTTCTTGCAGCTCAATCCATTTCACACGCACTGTATATTAATTAATTAATTCCATGACCTCTTTCTTTCATTTGACAATTTCCCTCTCTCCGTATCATCTCCCTCTATGTCTTCCGCTTCTTTCTCCACCTTCCTCCCCTCCGACGACGACCGCGCCACCGCCGCCGGCCGAGGGCTGGCCCACCGGACTGCCGAGAGGACCGGCTCCGGAGTGCCCAAGTTCAAATCTCTGCCCCCGCCGTCGCTCCCTATAACCTCCCCCGCCGCCGCCTCGCCGTCGTCCTGGTTCGCGATCCCTCCCGGATTAAGCCCGGCGGAGCTTCTGGATTCTCCGATTCTGCTAGCTCCGACCAACGTCAGCCGCCGATCTTCATTTTTATTTTTTTTTTCTGGATTTTAAATTAATTAGTGGTAATTTACTTTTTTATTTTTTGGTCAATATGTGGAACTGCAGATTTTGCCTTCTCCGACAACGGGAACTTTTCCGATCCAGGGTTTGGGTTTGGGATTCGACCGGAAAACCAATTCCGAGCCGAAAGATTTCAAGATTATCGAACAAAACCCCTTTCCAGACTTCACTTTCCATACCCAAACACGCTTCCAATCATACCACACTGTACGATATATATTTTAATTTCCTTAAATCTCTAACCATAAAATTTCTTACAAGGTTTTAACGTTATCGTGCTCAAAAGCTGCAGGAAGATCAGACATGGCAGAGTTACGACCAAGAACAACAGCCCGGCAACCAATCATCGGAAAAATCCAACGATTTCACTTCAACTCAGAGCTTTTCCCCGCCGGAGATGGAGATCTCCGCCGCCCAAACGACGGACGACAAAAAACCGGCCGGTGGCGGTGGCGTTCAGAAAAAGTCCGACGATGGGTACAACTGGCGAAAGTACGGGCAGAAGCAAGTTAAGGGCAGCGAGAACCCCAGAAGCTATTACAAATGCACCTACCCGAACTGCCCGACGAAGAAGAAGGTCGAGAGGTCTCTAGAAGGTCGCATCACTGAGATAGTCTACAAAGGCAGTCACAACCATCCCAAGCCTCAGCCCACGCGCCGCTCTTCTGTAATAAACCCGGCTGAGATCTCGATCTCCGACCACGTCGGAAAATCCGATCAGTTCTCGGCGCCGACGCCGGAGAATTCTTCCATTTCCGTCGGGGATGAGGAATTCGAGCAGGCCTCACAGAAGACTGGAGACGATCGGATCGTTGATGAAGAAGAAGAATCACGCGATGCCAAGAGATGGTCGGAGAATTTGATTTTGACTTTGACTTTGATTGAGCTCAGCGGTGGCGTTAATGGCAGATTTGATTTTGATTTTGTTTTTGATATGGTTTCAGGAAAGGTGAGAGTGAAAGTGAAGAAGGAATAATTTCGAATTCGAACAGAGCAGTGAGAGAACCGAGAGTGGTGGTGCAGACCACCAGCGACATAGATATCCTCGACGACGGCTATCGGTGGCGGAAGTACGGTCAGAAAGTGGTGAAGGGGAATCCTAATCCCAGGTAAACTAAACTAACATTCTCGCTATTTTAATTATGGAAACTTTCTACTTTTAGTAAAAACCGAGACAACGTCGTACATCACCTCCACATTTTAAATATTTCCCAATATCGAATTCTCGTCTTCTTATCTTTTCTTTTAAATAATTAATCTTATATTATATTAAAAATTAATTTTACATTCAAAATAATATTATTCTAATTCAAAATTTTTACTACTTCCTCCTCATATAAAGAGTAATATTTATTTTTTGCACTTAGATTTTTTAATATTAGTACTGTATTATGTTGTAGTTAAAAAGACAATTTAACTCTTTTAGTATTGTATAATATAAATGTGGTAATATATTGTAAGTTGGAAGGATATTTATTATGTTAGATACTAAGTATAATTACTAAATTGAGAAATTGTATATTTATTTTAAGACAGACGAAAATGGAAAATAAAACTCGAAAGGAATATTAAAATTCCAAATTAAAATCCAAGCCTTCAAACAAACTCATCCTTAAGTAGAAAATAGTGATTGAATTAATGTTTTTCCAGAAAGTTTAGGTGTTAAAAATAAAAATTATGGTTTTGTTTACTTGGGCATCTGTTTTGTGTTCAAATGACGGGTGTATGTGATACTCATTTTGTAAAAGTAAATAATACTTCATCCGTCCAATTTTTATTGTATTAAAGTATAATTGCACTTTTGTTTAGATGATTGTCTTTTTATTATGAATTGATAAATTTGTTCTTAATTGTATGATGGATATTAAAAGTAATAAATGAATGGAGGGTAAAAATGTAAAATTTGTGTTTTAAAAAGAAAATAAGACAATAGTTGTTGGACGTCTCAAATAGAAAAGTATGACATTAGTTTGTGGACGGAGGGAGTAATATACTTCCTTTCCTCAATTTTAATTTAAAATATCATTTTTACTATTTTTTTATGTTCTATTTTAAAGTATTTCATTTGTATTTTAAAAAAATTAATCACATACTAATATCAAAAATATCATTAATTTTAATTTAAATTATAAATATACTATTGCACATACAAAACCTCAGACGACCCTTACGATGAGGAAGTAAGGGAGTATTAGTTTAGTGTTTTAGATTAACGTCTTCTTTTTCTCTTTATGCAAAATATGAAAAATCATTGATACTATAAATATATGTATAGATTTAGTTTTCTTAAATTTTTATATACGAGATGTTCTATGTAATGATGTATTAACTAAAACACTTAAAAATTTAAAATAAAATAATGATATATAATAAACTTCATGTGGGTATGTAATTGATTCAGGAGCTACTACAAGTGCACGACGCAGGGGTGTCCAGTAAGAAAGCTCGTTGAGCGAGCATCGCACGATCCACGTGCCGTCATCACTACTTACGAAGGGAAGCACAACCACGATGTCCCGGCCGCTCGCGGCGGCGGAGGCGGTGGCGGTGGCGGCGGCGGCGGCCACTCCCTAAGCCGGCCGGTGCCCAATAACAACTATATGCAAATGCGCCAACTCAGCGCCCTGCAGATGTTGCCGGAGGCGGCAGCCGGCGGATTTGGATATCCTCAATTTGGGAGCTTGATGGGGGCGTGGGGGCAGGAGCATGAGACCATTAATAATAATAATAATAATAATAATGTGTTGTTTGGTAGAGCTAAGGATGAGCCAAGGGTTGACGTGTTCGCTCACGATTAGTCGCTGCCGTGCTAGCTAGCTAGCTAGCTGGGAAAGTATTTTTTTTGTATACCTCCATTTCTTTATTGGTAATAATAATGGTTATTATCATTATTATTATTTGTTTGTTTGCTCTTGGGATTGATGTAAGTATGTGTAAAAGTTAGGGTGTGTTTCTTCGGGGATTTGTCCCAAAATTCTCTATTTTTTCAGTTTTTTTTTTTTATTTTTAAATATCAAATCAAATACTTATTTTTTATTTTTTATATTATACTAAAAATTAATTTTTCATTTAAAATATCACATTAATACTTATTTATACCTACTAGAACTATTCAAATTCAAAGTTTTTACTATTACTCTTTGTAACATTCAAAATTATGGCATTTTGTTTAAACACAAAAAATAAAAAATAAAGAATAATGTTACATTCCTCCCACAAAAAGAGTTTTAGTTTTTATTTTTGTTCGTTTCAAAACTAAGGTATCGTTTTCTAATTTAGTAATTATTATTTACACTAACATAATAAATATTTTTACAACTTACAATATACTTCTTCCGCCCTAGCTATTATGTTCATTTTATTGTAAACACGAGAATTTATGGGGAGTATAATTAGTAAATAATTAAGAACGTATTAATGAAAATAATTATCGTACAATAAAATTAATTATAGATTAAAATTAACTAATTAGTCTAATTAAAATTAAAAAAGTTTTAATGAGAAAATTTAAAATAAGGTTAAAGTATATAATATTTTTTTTAAAAAGAAAAGTGACAAAATAAGTGGAATAGACGGAAATTGAAATATAGACATGGTAAGTGGGACGAAAAGAATATTATACACATACTATTATTTTTATACTATCACAATACTAATAGGGGTATTTTTGTCTTTTTATTAAAAATTAATGTAATCCTAATATTAAAATATTTATGTGCAAAAAACAAATGATACTCTTTTTATGAAACAAATGTAATAGTAATTTTAATATTAAAGTGAAATATTATAAAAAATTTATTAAAGAATTGATAAAAAGATGATACAATAAGTAGAAAAATGAGTGAAATATTAGTTATTATTTGTTAAAGTATGAATAATAAAATTGTGAGTGAATAAAAATAAAATTATTTATTATATATGTATTATGCTTAAGTTTAACTAATAACAAAAAATAAAAAGTAAAAAAAATACATAATTATAACAAATGAAAAGAAAAGGTGCTACGGAAATAAAATACATTATTATTGTATAGGTAGTGCACTCATGTACAAAACGTCGATGCTATGTAGTGATTGTGTATGGTTATGATTCCTTCTAAGTGAAGTACTCCTGTGTATAAATAATGGATGTACACAATGATATCAGTTTCTGCATTTACTCTCTCAATTTGTTTACATTTCTCATCATTATCCCTACAGTGTCTTACATATATTTATATATAATATATATTCATTATATATTACATACACACAACATACATACACACGCACGTACAATACACTATATAATGCCCCACTATCCATATGCATATATATATATATATATTTCATATTATATTATATTATAATATATATACAATATAAAATAGTGGTTAGCGATAGAGATAATTAATATTTTTATTGGCTAATCATATAATAATATTATAACACGTTATTGATGACTCCAAATTTGAGCATATTCTTAGCTTGACAAAAATGTGTGTTACTTGAATTTTTGCATAAGAACCATCAAAATAATTCGTAATCGGCATACAATATTGATTTATATCACCAGGCATGACCCAGAATTCGTTGTTGAGATTATTAACGATTTTTGCCCTCTTAAGCGGTATTCCGGAGCCAGAAAAGCTAAGGCAGACGCCGCAAGCGACAGCCGCCTCCGCTCGCAAGCGCCCAAGACGCACCTTGAAAACACTAAGGCACGAGAGGCAAGCGGCCACCTTCATAGCCGCAAGCGATAGCCCCTCCCGCTTGCAAGCGACAGTCCAGATACCCGCCGCTGCAGACTATCACCACACTTCAACTAAGTACTTCAAATGCAGCGGTACAGCTATTCCAATTCCAGCTAGCTCAAGCGAGCCGTGCTACGCTGATGCCCTCCTGCTCTCCAGCAAGCGAGGAAGATCTGTGCCATCAACGCAAGCGAAGCGGACACCCTGGGAGTTATGGCCAGCAACTGCTTCAACAGAATAACCACCTGCAACCGCCTAACTGCCCAGCGGTTGGAACTACCCAACAGCTTCTTGCAACCGTCCTGTTACAGCTGCTATAAATAGGGCCAGATATCTGTATGTAAAAACATATAGGAGAATCGAATTCTTGGACGATTTTCAGTATTTCACAGCGTTCATTGTCTTCCTGTTTCCGAGAGCTCCAACCCTGTAAGGGAGTTCTTCACAGGAAAGGCCAAGGGAGTGGGTGTATTCCCCTCCCTTGGCCACGTCTTTAATGCTTTCTTAGACTAGCTTACTGCTTTCATTTACAGCTTTGTAGTCTAATCCTTTTCGCAGTTTTCATAGTATATAAAGAAATATCACTCTTCTTCAATTTAAATCCTTTCACAATTTTCCATACTTATATAAATCAATTTAGAGAATTTCATATCACTGGTATAGAGCGAGAGACGAATTAATTAATTAAGCCTTGTGATGCGCCAAAAGCGGTCTCAAGGTAGTTCAACGTAGTTAAGTACGCGGGAGCCTTGTCGACCTACTTAATTACTGCGCTGAATTTGATTCTGATAAAAGAATACCAACATCAGGGGGTAAAGCCACTAATGAGGCAGAAATTGGGAAAATTAATGGGACATAGACGGGGGTCTATTAGGTCGCAGAAATTCCTAGTGACAGTAGGGTTTCTTTCTTATAATGTCTTAATTCTGGGCGTCATTGAAGTCTTGTTGTAAATCCCCCCCAGGCCAAAATACCAGTGTGATAAATTCTTTATAATCGAGTTTATATAATTACAACATCTTCCTGTCATCATTTTCGTAAAATACATATATGCTTCCGATAACACAATTTCATCATTCGCTCGCTGCATCCATGGAATTCTACCCATTTAGTAACGCACAGTTCAGACACAACACCTCTCTTTCACTCTACTTCGCTCATATACATATACATATATCAGGCCGCTCGCTCGCATCCCAATCCTATCACTTTCGCTTCGCTCACCCCCGTTCATGTTTACTGCTTTATTTACTGCTTTCAGTAGTTGAAGGTTCTCCGCTCGAAGCGGGCTCCCTTTTTGTTTCTTCGTCGCTTCTCCAAGATTTTTAATATTGAAATTCATGACTTTAAATCCCTGTGTTCGACCTGGAAACTCACCAGTAAAATGAGTATAAATAATTGTGATAACTATCCAGGTTCTACAACCACATAATTGCTATATCTGACCATTCTTCTATAAAAACTCTACTCATTGATTTTCGAATAAAATTCCCTGCGAATTAAAATACAATAACAAATGTACATTTTTCAGTTATCATAATTTGGCGCCGTTGCCGGGGATTTGAAACTCATGAAAAGTATCTGTTGAAAATCTTTTGAAGCGCCATAATTTACTTTTTAATTCGTTGTAATCATGCTTTTTGTATTCAATTAAAATTCTTCTAACTTTAAATTTTTGTATGTGGCTGCCGTTTTGTAGGGGTCCGAAGCGTTTTCAGCGTCCCACGAGTCCTACTCCCTCCGCTCGATCACAGAGACGTCTGTTCCGAGAGCAAGTACGAGAACAACTCATGGCGAATCAAGGAAATGCCACCGCTCCTCCTACTGTCATCCCAGCTTTCCAGACTGCCGCTGGGACATCTTCAAATTCCGCCACATCTGCATCTTCGCAGGAGGTGCCGCTCCACGTCCCCTCTGTGGTCCCTACTGTCATTCCCCCTGCACTTTCACAGACTGAGGAGCAGCTATTGAGAGCCCTCAGTAGCATTCAACAAGGAATGGCGGGGCTGCAAGCGCACCTCGCTCAGGTGGAACAAACTCAAGCTGCGCAGGGAGCATTTATCGCTTCCCAAGCGGCACAAGCTGCCACCACCGCTGCGATACCCACAACCATCATTCCCCCACCACCTACTGCTGAGCCTTACCAGAGGGCTGAGGGTCATAGGGCTGCTGATCGCCCACTTGCTGAAGTCCCCATGGATGTTCACTACCAGACCCTTCTGGATCACACTTTGATTACAAGTTCTGCGCCCAGAGGCTCTAGCCATTATGAGGTGAAACCAGCGCTCGTCAGCCTGGCGAGCCAGAGCCAATTTCATGGGCTACTCAATGAAAGCCCTTACGAACATCTACAGAACTTTAATAGGATCGCTGCCACCTCCAAATCGCACGGCATCACGGAGGACGCTGCCAAACTGATTCTGTTTCCATTTTCTTTAACAGGAGAGGCCAGGAAATGGTTTGATAACCTTTACCCGATCCCTGGCTCATTCAAGGAAGCAGCGCAGGCCTTCGTGAGCAAATACCATCCTGTATCAAAGACCATTCGCCAGAGGAATGAAATACTTACTTTCAAGATGGCGAGTGATGAGACCCTTCCAAAAGCCTGGAGCCGATTCAAACAACTACTCCGCAACTGCCCTCATCACGAAATACCGGACTTCATGGAACTTCAGATTTTCTACTCAGGAATTACTCCTGAACTCAGAATGTCCTTAGATGCAGCGGCAGGAAGCTCGCTTATGGGGCGTTGTGCCTCTGAAGCGAGGGCTTTGATTGAGAAGATGGCGGCCAATCAGTCAAGTTGGCCAGAGTCCAACAGGCCCGAGCCATCGAGGGGTCTGTACCAGGTCCCTACTTCCGTATCTCACGATGCAAGGATCGACAGTTTGTCAATCCAAGTGAAGGAGCTGTCTAAGCTTATGAAGCAGGACCTGCGTACTAAAGGAAAACAAGCATTACATGAGGCCGCGGAATGCGAGGAGAAAGCTTATGACGACCAAAAATGTCCGCAGGTTGCTGAGTATTCAAATGAGGAAGCTCAGAACCCAGCGGAGGTCTTCTATATGGCTGGCAGAAATGCCCCTCAATTCCAGCAGTTCCAAAAAGGGCAAGTTCAAGGCCCCGCTGGACCGCGTCCTCAGCAACAATTTCAGAGGCCACAAC